TACAAAATATTGCTTTTATTATCTTTATTCCCCGACAAATATGTTTCTAATTATAATTTATTTTATATAATATTTAGAAAACTCATTTTTTTCGTTTCTATTTATTTCTTTACCCATACAGCAACTAAGCTATACAGGCAAGTTTTAATAATAGTCTATTTCAAATTTCCCGCGAAAAAATTATTAAAGGGACAAGGGAGACGAGGTCACTCTCCCCACCACTCAAACATGAAAGGTACCGCGCGAACTGTCGTCTCTTGTCTTATCTACTCTTTGATATTACTAAATATTTTTTGACAGTTTCAGAGATTAATTAATAAAAAATAACGCTTTATTGTACAAAAAGCTAAAATAGCTTTATCGACAAAGTATTTAAAAGACAAACAAAAGCACAAAAAATATACAAATAATAAAAGATCTAACTAAGCATCATACAATTCAAAAAAAATTACGTCATTAAAATTACAAATAGAACAATATATGGACAAAAAAGAACATACCGAACACAAAAAGTAATAAATAAAAAAAAAATTCGGCCTTTTTTAAAGAAATTATTAAAAATACAAGAAACGTCCCGAAATCAAAACTACACTAGGTATTTACTGCAGTTGGTTTGTGCCTACTTTGCCATAAATATCGTAATCTTAAATCATACAGGGTGTTCAAAATTCTACACTACACAACTTTCTAAAATACAAAATAATTTTTCTTCGTTTTTTTTTAAATGGTACACCCTGTATATTATTTCTTTATTAGATGCAGAATTAAAAAATGAACATTTTTAACAGTAAATTAAGAGTAAATTTTTATCAAAGCCACTTAATGATTTTTGTCTTGTATATTACCTTTGAAAGAGCCATATCTATAAATATGTAATTTCACGGCATCCAGTTGGCTTGGAAATGACGATAGACATTCCCCGTATCATAACCAACATGAGATACAGGCCAGAGACATCGATTTGTGACGTCACCGCAATAGTCGGGCTTTTGTATTGTGCCATATGGTACTGCATATAGTTTTTGCATAAATAATAGTATTTATTGATAGTTTTGCCAGATATAAATATGAAAAATATTATACACAAAGGTATTAAAAAATAACATTAACTTTTTATCGCGTTACAGTAATTGAATAGCATTAAAATTTAGATCTAAAACACGAATATTAATATGAAATAAACAACAGCATAAGATGAACAGAATAAAATCCAGATAATAAAAAGCATGTCCTAAAATTGCGTTAGCGAGTATTTAGCGGCTACTAATAATATACCTTGTGATAAAGTTTCCAAATAAAAATGAAAACTATACTTTATCGACAAGTTAAGAAAATGTATTGTATATGATAAGGGCAGAATACATTTTAACGTTTAATTAAAAATAATTGTAAAAATTTGCCTAAAAAATGTGGATATCAGGTAGAATTAACTATTATCATTAAGTAATTTGTTAGTTCAATGTTCATCAAGTAACCATCTCCATATATCTTAAATAAAAAGATAAAGATATCATTTTTTTTATATAAAATACTGAAATAAAGTACAATTCATTTAATTTCTTTAAAATATATTGTCATTTCATAATAATAACAATAATTTTCAATATTTATTTCATCCTGAATTTCCAAATCTTGTTTTCGTTCATCGGGATGTTTGGGAACATGCAGTCATATAAGAGGGTTGATTTGGAAAAATTGTAGGCACAGCATCTTCTGTAGGTTTTGGACGTGACCTAGTTATAGTTAATATTGTTGGGAAAGAGAATGTAGACAGATCCTGAGTACTTATTATAATTGCTGCTACAAGGCACAGGCACAGAACAATGTCGCGGCATTTTTTATTTCACAAAGAAAAAATACAGAAACGAAAACTGTTTTACCTAAAAATACACGTAACTTACGTTGGTTTAACACTATACACTAACACTAACGCTATTAATTATGTTTTTATATAAATTCCCCAACTTTTTCCTAGCCCGGACACAGCCCGCATCGCCGGTGTTCAATAATTTTTACCGAAAGTATGTTTTTTTTCGCGGGTACGATGTTATGAATCGGATCTAGATAGTTCACTATTCACTCAGAGCACACTCAAAATTATTTAGTATAATTTTATTAGCATAGAAACGCGTAAAAAACACAGATTTGTTGCGAAACTAATGAAAACAATTGGTTTGTTTACGACTACTAATTCTCGACCACTTCGGTAGAACTCTCATGACAGTCAGGCCTTTTGAATATGACGTTAGCCACGCCCGTATAATTTAACATACAAAATGACAGCGATCTTTATGTCAAAGCCATCGCTGACGCCTTTTTTTCGATCGTATTGTATAATACCACGAATATCTGCGAAAGCGTTAAAAATTTTGAAATACCTTGAATAAAAAAATAGGAAAATGTATGTATGTACTTGGTAAAATTCCTTCATTAAATGACATTATTTGGAAGCGTCATTTAAATCAGATAAAGAATTTTTATTAATGAATCAGCTATTGAAGAATTAATTGATGAACAAGGCGTAAGTCATAATGATGGAATTTCCCAAAGAAAATTCGATTGTGGACTTAACATCTCCTAATAAAGTTGAAAAAAAATAATTCTGATTTCAGTGAAAATCGGCCTAAACGTTTAGTGAAACCAGTGCGGCGTTTAATGTAAAATTAGTTTTTTTTTTTGTAGGAGGAAAGTGTGATGTAATCTTCTAGCATTATAACAAATGCTAATTGTAAATGTGATGTGTAAATATAAGTAAGCCTGACAACATTGTATATTTGTTTATGAGCAGTATTAAACAGGGTTTTGAAAAAGTTTAGTTGTTTTATTTCCATAATATCTTACGCAAATTCCCTAAAATATTACACATAAAATTTTAATTTTTTAATTCTGCATCTCAAAGAAAAATAATATACAGGGTGTTGCATTTAAAAAAACAGAGATATGACACTCTTAAAAATATTATGAATTTGCGAGGCATAAAAAAATACCCTGTATAAGATAATGTGAGTTTTCCTTTACAGATTTATTCTGTTATCTTTGGTATTTAAGAAAATATAGCTAAGTATTAATAAAGCCGAATTTACTGTTAAAACCACTTTTCGGATATACTGTTTCTAACTAAATTTTCATTAAATAAGTAATGGAAGATATTATTGCACTTTCTCACATTAATGGGCCACCCTGTATATGAAACTTACCAATCAAATCTAAACTAATATCCACGTTAGCTCTAATCCACTTATACCAAGCATCCAGGACTTCATAATCGGCCGAATGAAGGTAACCATTAGTGTAGGCCTGTTCCATAAAACAAAATCTATTGTTCTGTATCGATCTACGATAGAAAAAACCGTCTTGAAACACCGAATTCTGAGGTTACAGTAACTTAAAATACCTTTCGTACATCTGCACCCTCACAGAGCTGTCTTCTTCGGAGGGGCTGTTTGCGTTGTAACCTGGTAAACTGTACGCGTAACTCTGGAAAACTTTCAGCCATTCGTGTATATCTGAGTAGAGAAGCTCCAGTAAGTTGTGGCCCTCGAGATTACGCCACCAAGCAATCGGTTCCTAAAATTTTTAACACAAAATCACAATTTTTCTAACAAATTTCAAAATTTTTACTGGATGCGTCTCAATTCCCTCCATATTCTTGAAATACTCAATTAATGTCGACTTTCCTGCCCCTATATTCCCTTCTATCGATACCCTAAAGGGTCTATCTGTAGGGGTTTTTATATTTGTTAGTTCTTTCAATGGAGAAATACCAACAAAATTCGTTCTTTTATTCGGAGAGGATACTGCACCCGATTCGATAAGACGTAACGTAAGAATTAAAATTGGTTCATTTCTTACGTCTTACGGCATACGGCTTACGGCATACGGAGATCTATGAACGCAATCATATGATTGTGAAGGTCGATATCCCTTACGTCTTAACGATACGGCTTACGTCTTACGGCTACGGAACTCTGAATCCAGCATTACAATGTATTGTTTTAAATTTAATATGCATGTATTCTATCGAAAACCTGCCGGATTTTATTGCTAAAAGCGCGAAAGTATAATAAATATTGCAAAGCGGAAAATTATAAATTTTGAGAGCCTTGACCCCAAAGATCATTCGTGTTCAAGCTCTTGATTGGAGAATTCTAACCTATAAATTTTGTGTTTTTTTCGTTTTTTTTGGGTAATTCTCGTTTAAAAATTACTATGGGATGGTTTAATAATGCCGAAAATCACCTACCTTTGGCTACAGGTAACGAAAACTCTTGAATTCAACAATTTATTGAAGATATTTGGATTATTTATCATAACAAGAAAAAAATTCTTCTAGAAGGATAACAGTGACGTAAACAATAATTTCCCGCCATAAATAAAGCAAACAATTTTTAATCGCATCTTTGGAAAATTGTAAAAACTAAAATAACTTGGCCTAATTTTCCTATTATTTTGATATTAGATTGATTATTTGAATTATTTTCAACAGTATAGCACATAATTTGGGCTTAGTCAAGTTGTTATAAATTTTATTATATATATATTTTTTTTTATTTAGGCCCTTTTGTACCAGGTATGATCGATGTATTAACATCCTATGAAAGGGAAAATCCTATTTTTAGATTGTATTATCCTTCAGACGAAAGTTCAGATCAAGAAGTACGTATTTTTCCCAAAAATATTAATATTTTCTTTTTGAATTTGAATTCCTGTATGTTTGGTTGCCGAAAAAAATTATTTTACCAAATTTGAATATTTAAACGGTTTTATCGCTATATTTCTTTCAAATAAATTTTAGCAAAGCCCAAATCGATGGAAAAACTGGTTACTGGATGAAAGCTACCTGAAAGGAATATCTAAAGTTCTCATGTTGTATCCTTTCATTATGAAATTAGTTTTTTGGTGGTCAGGTATAGTACTAAATCAAATAATATTAAGTGTTTTTAATAAGAATATTTCTATTCTTTTAGCTAAAACAAAAATACCAGCGATATACGGGGCGAGAATTATTAGAAATAAAAAATTAAAATGTATAGTTCTATCTCATGGATTAGGTGGAAATAGGTTTCTTTATACGAATATCTGTTGTGAATTGGCTTCCAGAGGGTTTTTGGTTGTAGCTTTAGAGCATAGGTAGAATATAACGATGTTTTTTAAATTTTAAATAAGTTATTTTTAAAAATATTTCCATATGTATGTCTGGTTGCCTATATATAATTTTTTTCAGGGACAATTCCGCATCAAATACATATTATTACGAAAATAAATCAGACGCAGAGCGCGATTTCAAGAAAACCATCGAATTCAAGCACATAAAACTAGGAAAAGAACATCACAACGTTCGGTACGAACAAATAAAAGCTAGATTCAGCGAATGCGAGCGAGTTTTGCACTTTTTAAAAAACCTCGAGCGCAATATCGTTCCCGAAAATATCCTGGACCATACACCGTCGCACAAAAACAAGAATTACCAGTTTAAATTAGACGATTTGGCGGGAAATGTGGATTTGGAAGGACTGTGTATGATGGGGCACTCATTCGGTGGTGCTACAGCTTTGTATACTTTATCAAAAAGATCAGAATTCAAGTACATTATTTTTATTAATAAAATAAACGTTTTTTTTTAATTATTCTCCTTTAGGGTTGGTGTTTTACTGGATCCCTGGATGTTCCCGGTAAAGAACGAAAATTTAGAAGAAAAAATAACGCAACCCTTGTTATTTATTAATACGCAAACATTTCATATAGCTGCAAATGTTGATGCCATGTCCAAACTACTTAGTTCCGATTGTGTTAGGAACATGTACACCATAAAGTAATAATATAGTCTGTAAAACGAATAACTTTGAATTTGACAGTTTCCGCGGGCTTTTCTAGTGTTAATTTTATTAGGTTAGCAACTTGCGGCCATGCTGACGCAATGCCGTCTCTAATAGAACAGCCTAGGAACGAGATTTATGACGTCACACTAGTTAGATACTACAGATTAATAACTATGTTGTAGAATACATGGAAAACATAGTTATTCCTCGATTTGTTGGTTTGTATTTT